TCGCCTAACTCTCATGGCGGGCTGTTCAACCCGCGCCATCCGCTTTCGACGGTACCTTGGTCTATAGAGGTACCGTTATCAGACGACGACGATAAAGACTACAACATAAAGAATAAGAAGTTTCTAACAAGCGAATACCGCTCCGAAAAGGAATCGGACCTCATCCTCTTCACACGCGGCTGGGTCCTCCAGGAACAACTCCTCGCTCGGCGCACCCTGATCTTCGGCAAGGAAGAACTGCACTGGGAGTGCGTAACCTGCGAAGCGAGCGAGTCATTCCCCTCGTCCATCGATAGGGAGCGCTGGGACGGTGATGTGAATGACAGGCGAACCATCTTTCAGCATCAGTGGGAGAACCTTACTGGAACCGACACTGGCAACAAGCTGGGTCCCGCTGATAATAGTGACACGAATGCCAAGCGGCACAAAGCCTGGGAACTCCTGGTCCAGACGTACTTCAGCCGGTCGCTGACCAAGGCCTCAGACAGACTGATAGCCATCTCCGGCATAGCGGAGCAACTGAGCGGTCGATGGGGTCCGGGGGTCACTTATCTGGCGGGATTGTGGTCGTACCGGCTCGTCCAGGGGCTTTTGTGGTATATGGGCGGCGAAGATCGGTGTGAGGAGCGGGATGCACAGGCGGCGCCTTCGTGGTCGTGGGCGTCGCTTGTGCCGGAGCATGTACCCGGTGTAACGGACCTGAAGCTGACATATGCAGAGGCCGCGTGTGTGGATGGCTTGGCGGAGGTTTTGGAGGCGCAGGTGACACCTGTCAGATCAACGAATCCATTTGGGCCGGTGATTCCTGGCTCTGGGAGTATCAAGCTTAGGGGGCCGGTGCTGCCGAGACCGAGGATTAGGAATAGGGATGGAAATTGTGAGGCTTATGATTTGGTTTTTGGAGCGAACGAGATGAGTTCGGAATTTAGGATGAACGAAAGCGGCGTATACGTCAATATGGCTACCAGTATGCCTGCTTATCTGCATTCGGATCAGTCTATCGCGGTGCGTTGGGACAATATCAATGATATGAAGGAAGATGAGGAGGAGGCTTACCTGGCGCCGCTCCAGGTGCAGCTTATAGAGGACGGGCCGGCAGGAACCCCGAGCAAACTTCAACTTGTTGGATTGGTTCTATTGAAGGCATCGTCGTGGGTCGCGGTACCACAGTTTCGAAGAGTGGGCTTGTTTTTCATCACTGACGAGGCGCCTCAGTGGAACTCTGCCCCTGACAATGAACTTCGAGACGGCGAACAACGGGACAACGAAACGGCTACTCACATGAACGTCGACTTTGAAAGCTCTTCGGACCCCGAATCTCGCGCCGTCCGATATCCGGACCCAAACCACCATCACCACCCGTCAGACACATACGACGACTCCAGTAACTCACAACCGGACGACGTTTGCTCCGACGATTCCTACTCATCTAACCCATTTGCCAACGCCACATGGGAAAGTGAGTCCGGTGAGGAAACAGAAAGAGATCCCGCCGAGTTCAACGAATACTATTACGAAGACTTCCCCGTCTGGGCATCGGGCATCGAACGCCTTAAGAACCAGGGCTTCCTTCGTAACATTGACGCATGGTTCGCTCAAGAAATTCAGCAAGGGCAACGATCGGATCCCTTGAAGGAAGACCCCTACGTTAACGGCCCACGTCCGCTTAACACCAATCTGGCAACGCGATACTCACCGTGTCTCCAACGGACGTTCTACCATCGAATTGATAGGTTTCTGGAGACCTGTCAGGCTGTGGCTCGACTTAAGCCTGACCTGGTGCTGGGTGGCGGGGAGGCAAACGGTTATTATGTTTATGAGATTGTGTGAAGGCCGAGTGAAGTTGGGTCGCTGTAGGCATTCAGGTTATCATGTTGAAAGGCTGAGGTTTTGATATCATCAATACAGCAGTAAACAGCCTAACGTCCGACACTGATATGAGCAGCGTACATATACATTGTCATCTTTGTTCTTTTTGAATAGATGGGCAGTGGATGCATTGGATGTCTTGAGGTCAGCATTAGTAGGGAATAACAGAACTTCGGCGACAGACCTGCCCTGCTCAAAGCACTCGAGTTGAGTGGTTGCCGGAATTGTACTGCGGTTCTGATCACCAAGTTCGCATTACGGAATTTCACCTTCCCAGGTAGTTGTGGTTGGTTGATCTGAAATGATGCAAGGGCGCTAGAATGGAAGGTCAGAGACAAAGCCAAAGCTAGTACCATCTATGACAGAAAATTTCAGATGGGGAGAAGAAAAGAGGAATAAATACTCTGGTCGAACACACAAGCGACAGCGGGACCCACATGCGGGTCGCCAACGCCGTTCGTTACAAACACCGCCCGCCACTCTACCAGGCGGCATGGAGATGCGCTCAAAGGGCATACCAATGGCACGCTGCCAGCGCTCAGATCTACCGGTATCGAGCTCATAACACGCAACAAACCGGCCGTTCTCACGCTCCGGCAGCCTCGACTACAAACGCCCAGGATGCATTCGACAACCCTCAACGTAGGTAGTATGGTCCAAGAGAGGCACCAGCAATCATCTGCCAGACAAAATGGGAGCTCATTCCAAGCGGGTCGGCGCAGCACCCCCAGGCAAACATAGCCGACTGCTTTACGACCAACTGTCACGGAGCCAAAAAGCCAAGCAATCGACAAACAGGGAATTCTATATCGCTCGATTCCTTCCTGTTTAAATACCTAGTCTATATCCGTCCTGTCGTGGATTATGTCCTGCTCTAGTTCAACGCCTGTGCCCCGTACACCTTCTCGAACTCCTTGCTGAACGGCTGGTCGATATACCCAACCGGCGACTTGGCCTTATAGAACGTATCCCTGTCATACTGGTTCAACTCGATGCCCTCCTTGATCCTAAACACCAGGTCCGGTGTCGAGATAAAGTGTCGCCCGAACGTAGCAACCACGTCCTTCTCCGGGAACTCGTAATCAACCAAATGCTTCGCCGTCTCGGGGGTAAGCCCGCCGGCGATCAGTAACGGCCCATCCCACAACTTGGCCGCAAAAGCCAAGCTCTCCTCATCCTCCCCGGGCTGAACATCCATATTCCCGGCAACTCGCGATTGTGTAAGATGCAGGTACGCCAGTCCAAACCCGTTGATCTTCCGAATCACATCCTCAAACTGCGGCACCAGATCCTTCTTCATCTTCATCCCCTGGAACGTGCTGTACGGACTGAGCCGGATGCCCGTCCTCTCGGCGCCGACAGCCTCCACCACAGCCTTGACCACCTCGAGCGCGAACCGCGACCGATTCTCGACGCTGCCACCGTATTCATCCGTCCGCTGGTTGCACGTGTCCTGAAGGAACTGATCAATCAGGTACCCGTTCGCGCCGTGGATTTCAACGCCATCGAACCCAGCCTCAATTGCGTTCTTGGCCGCGGCCGCATACTCGGCCACCCGCTCCCTGACCTCGGCCACCGTCATCTCCTCGGGCACTGGAGCCCCTTCCTCCATGGGCACGGCACTCGAGCTCTTGAGCTTGAACCCCCCCTCCTTAGCCAGCACCTCGGGGTTAGCAGCCCGCCCGAGCGACCACAACTGACAGAAAATGAAGCTGCCTTTGGCGTGCACGGCGTCGGTGATCTTCTTCCAGGCGGCGATCTGCGCGGCGTTGTAGATACCCGGGACGTTGTCGTAGCCGCCCGCCGCGGGGGAGATGAAGGTTGCTTCCGTAACGAGCAGGGTGCCCGGGACGGAGGCACGTTGCGAGTAGTAGGTGGTCATGAGCGGGACGATGGGGACGTGCTCGTCGTCAGAGCGGAAACGGGTCAGGGGGGCCATGGCAAGACGGTGGGCAAGGGTGATTCTGGGGGTGAGTTTGAGCGGCTGGAAGAGCCGGGACTCAGCAGCGGCGGCCATTGTGGATAGTGTTTCTACGTGGTTCCAGGGGTTGTTGACTGGGAGTTTTTAACGGCTCTATCTAGAGAAGACGGGTTGGGTATAACGAGTGAGGTTGTAATGTGTAGTGTAGTCTCTGAGAGATGAGAACACGTGTGCTTGTGCTAAGTATCTGAGACTTTTCATGAAGAGTCGTATACCAGAGATGGGTTCCCTCTATATACTCTATCAGTGTCTGCACGAAACCGGTTTGTATCATCGGTAGTATAGGCTCCACCACGATTTCAAATCAACGACACATCGGCGACATTCTCCGCTTCTCTATATCCCGGTATTCCCGATCGTGGTATTCGCTACCCACGGCACAAATCGGTACAGCCAAGGCGCCAGCCAAGCCCCTAATCCGTATAGGAAACCAGGGGTATGAATATGGTAAAAATGGCTATTTGCTGTGAGGTTGATTGATAATCAGTAGAATCTCCATCCGCCTCAATGATGTGATGAACGGCAGCCTGACCTGCCTAAATGGGATAGTTGAAGGTGAAGACTATCGGAAGACGTTTGGTGAGACCAAAAGGTTCATGACAAGTAGACTTGTCTCAGTGATGATGATCAGTTGACTACTACAGAACTATCTAGTGTCGAGGATTCTCGGGGTTCTTATACGTACCTTGTCCGTTTGTATGGACTGGCTTACCTCGCGCTTCTCTCTAGGAGGAGCGTCGGGGGAAGTACGAAATCGGCTGAATAAGTTATAAAAGCGTCAACACAACTTGGGATAGGGATCTAATGACAAGCATTTTACTGCCTTATTTAGGTATCTTTCTGGCTGTGTTTTTCATTCTACTTTCAAATAAGTTTCTGTCGCCGCGTTCAGGCCTTCTTCAGGCTCTGAGCATTTCGTCTCATAAAAAACAATACTCATCACCGGATCGAAAATTGGTCTTTTAATACGAAGTTATCATCAAGTGTCATTAATGGAGTAGGAGGTTGCGTGTGGAAGGGTGGTGGGTCTCGGCATCTCTAGTCCATATGCCGGTGAAGTACTAATGATTCAAGAAAAACCACAAAGCAATGCGTGTATCAAGGTCGATATTGCTTCCTTCAGGACACGCACATGAACAGCTACTTTGACGTTCTCTTTACTTTTTCTTATTTCTCATTTCCATCTATTTTAAGCTTTTTGTTGTTGTATTTGTACATACTCTTTGCCTTTCTGTTCCTGTTTACTATGTTCCTTCGTGCTCTTCGACCAGATTCTTTGTTCGTAGCTCTACTTTGTACAATACTTCTTCTTCCAACTTGCATCGCGTCAATGGTCCGCTTTTTGGGTCTCTGCCTCTTTATGTCCATCATGGATGATTCCTTGCCAGGAAGCCCCCATCATCTTGAGATGAAGATGCAGACGAGTTACCTAAGGAAATGATGGAGCACCTGTTTTCCAGCTTGAAGTGAAATGCCAGCCGCTAGCGCGCTATGAGGGACTGAGAAGATAAATCAAGTAGAAGAGGAGGAGTTCGAGCTGCTAGTAGCTTTGTCAATGCTCCGAGAGGCGGCCTCGTTAGGACGAAGATTGGCGACAGCGGCAGCACCTCCAAAGATGGAAGGGGGTACGGCTATGCCGTGATGGGCAGCGGCGACCGGAATACCTCCGGACACGGAAGAAGTGGAAGAAGTTGAGCCAGCCACGGTTGCAACAGCAGGAATACCCTCCACCACAGGTACATGGGGAATGCCAGCCGCAGCGCTGGCCTTCGCAGCCTTTGTAGCGGAAGCTTTGACTTCTGCAACCTCAGCCGCCTCGCGCTCGTACATCTCCTTCAGAGTTTGGTGTCTCGCCCACCTCCACTCGAGCTCGAACATCGAGTACTCCGGATCGCGGGCAATTCCCGGGCTGGGGTAGCGGTCAGGTGTGCGCGGAATGTGACCCAGCTCGAGTTGCTTGATGCGATACTCGTCGCTTTGTCTGTAGTTGTAGATTCGCAAGACCTTCCTCTTTTCGAGGGTGATGGTTTCCGGGGTTGGGGTCATCGCCGTCTTGTTGTTCTTGTCGTTCTTGATCTCTTTCTCTTCCCCCCCTTTGTTGTTTGATCCGTCGCCGTCCTCTTTGGCGGCTGGTTTGACTGCTTGAACCTGTTTCTTGATCCTGACAAAGACCGTGCCGCTATCAGCATGGCCATAGCCGTATCTGTCCTTGGCTCTGCAGATGCCAATCTCCTCAAGGTGAGGGATGCGATCAAAGTAGAGATTTGCGACGGTCGTATCATCGTCATAGACCTGCGAAAAGTCAGGTGGAGGTCTAGAGGCGTGCCTGAGCACGGTGAACTTCCTGATGTTGTTGTGAGCCCTGAGGGCTTCGATCATGTTGGTCTAATCAAGTTAGATATCTGTGAAAAGATGGCTATCCATGATGGCAGAAAGGGGCTAGATTGTGTGATGCTTACATCTTCAGCCTGGCAATGAGGCTCGCTGAACTCCCAAAACAGATGCTTAAGTTGAGAGAGACCCTCTACAGCGTCTAGTTATAACATCGATGTCAGCGAGGGACAGGTTAAGGATTGCTTTCTGTGCATCTAAGCTGGGTTTGTGAAATGGGCATCAATAACTTACACTGAGGGGTTCGATGTTGACGACTTGTTCTGATGCCTCTTGTTCCGAGGAAACAAGCTGTCTCGATAAACTGCGAGCTCTGGAGCGATTTGAAAACTTCATTGTCCGGACGGTCCCATACGCCTGTGGAACGGCTCCTCAAAACACGCAGATTGGGGAAGGAGCGGATGAGGGTTCCCATGAGAGGAGCAAGAGAGTCCAGCGTGATGCTCCTAACGGTAGGAAGGGTGCGATTCTTGAAAGCATTTCTCAGCGTGTCGTATTTCTTGGACGAAGAAATTTCAAGTGAGACAAGATTGTCCATGCCTGCGATGACTGTACGGACACAATCGAAGCGGCCGGCTTCTCCCCAACCATTCCACTTGTTTGGGCGGCTCACGTAAGCACGACCATTTGGAGGGGGGCTAATAATCAAATGTCTGTAGATATAGGAAGTCGATTAGCACTTTGATATCTCTTCATATACCATGAAAAAGCGAGGGTAATTGGGAGTTGGGTTGGGAGTATGGGATCACGTACTTCACTCTTGAGATAATCCCGGAATTGCGGTTGGCCTCGGAGAGCCGCGTGAAATCATCTTTCAAAAACTCATCAAACTCTGTCCAAATTTGCAGGTAATCGTGCGCCCCAAAGGCAACGCAAAGATCCCGAAATCGCTTGCATGTCTGAGAAAGACCATGAAGCTTCTCGTCGGTCAAAGAACCGGCACAACGTTTTCCCTCGTGTTGCGCATGAGTGTATGCATGACCGTCTGGCTGGCCCTGCTGCTGGCCTTCTATTAGGGCGGAAAGCGGGAACTTTGGCGGAGAATAATGCCACTCGTGAACACCGCCCATGACATACGACACAATCATGTTGAGGATTTCGCTGGGAAGGTTGGTGATCAAGACCTTCTTGGTCGAGTGAATCGCCGGGGGACCGGCGGGTCTTATCGAGGCTTCAAGGCCGTCGACGTGACGGGTCAGGTCATTGATCTGTTGCCTCTGTTGCGCGATCCACTGCTGACAACCAGGACACGGACAGCCTTCCTCGAAGAACATCGGGCCCATGTCAACGGGGACGACTGGCAATGGCTGAAATACCATGTGGCCCACGGTATTGGGGATGACAAGCAGTGGCTGATCTACCATTGGCTGACCCACACCAGACAATACATTGTCTTGCTGAAGAGTCGCAGAGGCAGGAGTCGAAATGTCCGGCTCAGCCATGAAAGCCATATGGTCTTGAACGCCCGACGACGCTAAAGCAGGATCACGGCTGGCCATAGAGTTGCTTGGTGGGAGGCTTGCCTGAAGTTGGCTGGAAGCCGAAGTTTGCTGATTCTGACCAGTGCCCTGGCTCGGAGTAGAAACGATGAGGTTGTTCTCCGCGCCCCTCTGTATCATAGGAGTGCGCAATGAATAATTATTGGGCGAGGTTGGACTCGAAGCGAGTCTAGCCATAAGGAGGGGCATCTTGAAGTGTCGCTACCTTAGCAAAACGGCGCTGAAGTTGCAGAGCGAAGGGGTTGTTTGTTGTGTTAACCGAGTCACTTGACAAAAAGGAGAATGCAAAAAAACAGATCTGGGTTGGAAAAGAAAAGAGTTGGATATTAATAGTTCGAGTGAAATGCAAATTAGTCAACGTGTTCGTGAATAGGTTAAGGTCCCTCCACAACCTGGTGCTGTATCCGCCTACTCTTCAGGTTTGTTGTTGTATTTTGCCTCAAGGTTGAGGAGTATCCTGTGAAGTGACACATAGCAGGATACTGCTAGACAGTGAGCTCATGTTCTCAACGAGAACCTGAGCGTATTGATTTGAGTGATTTGCAACCTCTTCGGATAGAGTGTGAATGGCATCGATAGCAAGAGCACAGTGTATCTGGAATATGAAGTCTTTGACGGGACAGCCAGCATTTGCCTGATTGAAACTGCCAGACATCAACTTAGGCAAGAAAGGTATCATCTGAATGACTTTAATGGTCGAATAGAGAAGAGAGAGAAATTTCAAAAACCAGTAACTGTACCGCAGTGCAGTGCTGTGATGATTCTGAACTGTTATAGCGAAGCAAGCAGCTGCCACCCCTTGGTGCCGCCTGTATATCAGGATCATCCTTTTCTTTTCTTTTTTTTTTTTTCTTTTTTCGCAGTAGAAGGACCTAGACTTAAACATACTTGATGCCAGCGCAGAACCTGCGCAAGATATTCTTGTGGTTGAACCAGCAGAAACCAAAGTGGGGGAAGATTCTTGGATTCGGAATGTAAAGGTTTGAAATCCGAATTGAGGCACAGGGGGTAGAAAGAGCCTTGATCCGAACAAGTGGAATTGTTCATTATGTTTGGACGTCCTAGAGAATTATCAGTAACATGAACATGTGGCATGGATGAGTTTGCGGAAATCTTCCAGCATAGAAACAGCGCTCACCGATCGAGTATGCCCGCTTGTTAAATGACCATGAGGATGCTGCCATTGCCAATGCAGCGTCTTCTCAGGTAACCAGCGCCTTACAAGCATCGCATGATTGACGACCAGATTCCAGGTATCAAGAGAACAATGGTACAGCCCACCAGGCTCCAAGCACGACTAGCAAGGCCAATATCAGGAGCGGTATGTCGATTGTAAGCTTGAGTCGAATCCACCTCTTTACTCTGTTTCTTAGCTTCCTGCGATGTACGCACGTTGAGGTGCTGTATACCAGACACCCAAGGCCGGGGCGGGCTTCACATTCATTGTGCTCTCTCCAACGCTGCATAAGAAGTCTAAAGAGACTGTGGATCAGCACTTATTCACCGGCAAGAAATAAAGTAAAGAAAGTTGGGATAACACTGTGGTAAAGCAGAAGGAAAAACAAACTCACTTTACACTGCCTCGGCAAAACCTCACGTCGCTACCAAGGTCACAACTCCTGTGATTGGGGCAACCCAAGTGCAACCTACGACACTGGACAAGCCACTCGACCTTCTTACGCACACCGGTGTCCACGAGATTGTAGAAGTATCTGTTGACGTGTTTCATGGATAGGGCATCGGGGTAAATGAGTTGTTCGGTAATGAGGAGATGGATCTCGGCTGGCAGCTCCATGAATGATGGCTTTCGAGCAGTGGGAGAAGTCAAGCCAACATGGACGTCTGTATAGGGTTTGCGTTCCAAACTCGCGTGTTCGGAAAACTTTGTGAGGAGCTCCGTGTTCGAGGCCGACTGACCATCGGGCGTCGTTGAGTTGAGTGGGTCGGAGCCCGGGATTTGTGGGGCCGGACACGGAGGTGCGGGTCTCGACTTATATCGACGAGTAGGTGATGCCATGGCAATCTACCTCGAATGTACTCCGCGTAAGGTATGAGAAGAAAACAGGGAGAGAATTGGGTTGAGACGGAATGCAGACCGGACTGTGATGGAGGTCAAACAAGTGTGCGTCGATGCTGATACAGACCGGGAGAGTGTGCGCGCATTGAGAAGATGAGGTTCAACACGACGTTCGAGCGAGGCTGCAGGTTCAGTAATCTTTTCGAAACCAAGACTATACAGGACACTTTGCTGGAAACATCAATGAAAACTAATCAGATCGCCCGATGGACCACAGGGATGATGCGTCATTGTAGCAGACGAGTGGTGTGAAGATTAGAAAAAAGCTGGAGCCTGGCCGTTGTGGTGTACAATATAAGACTGGTATGTTTGTTAGTTTGGTTCTTCGGCCATAGGTTGAACAGGGGAGATATAGAGCTCTTATTGGCTTCCTTAGAGTTTTCGTTTGGAGCGACCAACAATGACCAGGATGTGATACGCCACAAAAGCCTCTATTTATGCCTCCATCCGTCTCCTTAAAGGCCTTCAAACTTAAAAAATATAAAAGAAAAAGTCCCCTTTCAGTACCTATCTATTTGAAAATCGAATACTTCCTCACTTTCCGGGGCTCTCAAGTGGAGATGGGCGTTTTTTTGTACCAAACTAACAAACATACCAGGGTTAGATTGTATTAACACCACGCGGGATGAACACTAGGCCAACCATGCTGCCCCTGAGTCTCCGAGGAGTGGAGATCATTCGTACCTTTTTGAAGGCAACCGAGAATCGCAAGACTTTTGTCCAAGCGAGGGATTGGTTAATCAGAAGCTGGGTGTGACTTGGAAACGCGGCGTTGCCCCTGGAGGCTGAATTGACCGACCGACAAACCCCGACAACAGGCAACAGAAATAATCGCCAATCGCCACTACACTTGCGGGAGCGGAATACGAGACACTCCAAACAAGAAGGACGGGGGCATGATGGATCCAAGATGGCTGACGACAGTTGTTAGTCGAACAAGTAGAGACAAACGAATTCCAGGAAGCCAACCCAAGCAAGTCATCAGGAGAACTTGCTAGCGAAGGTGATAAGAGGCCGTCAAGGTAAAGCAACAGCGGATTGGAGCTGGATCGTTGTTGGGGAGTGTGTAGTGCTGGGACTTGGTGTGCTTGGCCCATGCCGTCTGTGCCAAGCATGTTCCGCTCATCACGTGAGCCCGTGCCACCGGCCGGCAATTGGCGTTGCTGGAAAGGCGGGGCAGCCGGGAACAAGTCGCGCCCACTCACCAAGCGATACTATGACGTCCTCTGTTTGGGCACCGTGAAAGCCTCCCGATGTTCATATCCCCTCCGCGCCCGATTCTCCAACTGAGAACCTCATCACATTCTTGTGGTTTGCTTCAATTTGCTTGCATGTAAAGATGCACTAGATGCCCTTGGGAGTATGGCGAGGCCTGCGCCCAGATACTACAGCGACAGCGACACAGACGGTACTAGCTCGCACGACTATGGATACAACTTGACGGCCGAGGAGGAGGAGGAAATCTCCGCCCTCATCGACTCCATCTCGCCACCGACACCACCGATCCCCGGACCAGGCACACGCACCCTGCCTCAAAATACCACTGCGACTACCTTCGGCTCTTCCGCTTCTCCTCGCTCTCCCTCCAAGTATTCTACCACCGTGGTCGCTGATCCTGCCTTCGTCGACTTCTTGGCTGAGGACGAGGACGAAGTATCTGATCCATCCTTCGACATCCGGTCCATCGATAACGCAGTCCACCGTCACGTCGCCAAACCAGATCCAAGTGAGCGCGCGTGTATCATCCCGTCTCCAGATGTTCCATCATCAGACAGCAAGTCGCGCCTGGCGCCTTCTGTCCGCGACGACAACCCTCGACTTGCAACGTTTGTCGCCGATTCCAACGCAAAGCCGGTACATTCTGACCCCACTGACTCGGACGTACACTACCCGGATTGTAAGCTCCTCGCACCATCTGCTTGCCAGCCGCTTGTGAAGAACGTCTACTAACAGACATATTGAGCGACTAGTAAGCAATGCGCTCTCGGGCTTACAACAGCAAGAGCCGTCAGGGTCCCCATCCAACACGCCTGCTAGTAAGGCTGGGACTCCTAGGAAGAGGGGCCGACCAAAACGATCGGCCGAGGAAAAAAGCCTCTTGATTGAAGACAATCGGTCGCCTATCCTTCGTTTCCGAACATTTCCCAAGAAGCCCTTTTCCGTCAGTGATCTTACCTCCGGCGCCTGGTGTGAGCTGCAATACTACTTTGTGTTGAGTAAGCTCCCAGGCGGGAAGAAGACGCGAACGCAAGCAATGAAGGGAGGCACCTCGATCCACGAGAAACTGGAGCGTGAGATTTACACTCCGGTATCCGTGGAAATCACCAAGCCCGAAGACAATTTTGGTCTCAAAATCTGGAACATCATCACGGGCCTGCGCACTCTGCGCGACACCGGCTTGACCCGTGAGCTAGAGGTATGGGGCATTCTCGACGACGGCCTCGTCGTCAACGGCGTCATTGACGGACTGAGCTACGACAACCCGGACCCAACCCTCGAGGAAGAAGTTCTCAGCAGTCGATCCAGCCAAGTGACCGACAAGCCGCTGTCGCAGCAACAACAGCACGAGATTACGGATTTCTTTCCGCCCGAAGTCGCCGACAAGCGCGAGATCTTCATCACGGATGTCAAAACGAGAGGATCCAAGAAGCCGCCAACAAAAGCCGCCATGCGCGTCACCATCATCCAGCTGTTCCTCTACCACCGCTTTCTTTCTGAGATGGCCTCAGGCAAACTTAACTACTGGCGCATCTTCGAGAGGTACGGCATAGACCCTGATGAACCCTTCTCCGACACCTTCATGGCGCAAATGGGCGCTCTTCACGAGGAAGTCTTCTCCGACACCACATCAGACGGTGCCGGACTCGATTACGTCAGCGCCGTGTCCACCACCTCAGACGGAGCCTCCGAAACGGCCTCACGCGATGACGACCTAGAATCGACCGTCTCCTCTACCAACGCCTTCGACTCTCTTAGATACCGCACCCTCCGCGACCTAGTCTCCCTCCTCAAATTCGAGCTTCAACTCACCTTTCCCCGCGGCGGCGCCAGCCTGGGGCAGATCGTGGCGGTGGAGTTCCGCTACCGGTCTCCTCGTCCAAGAGAAAACAAGGAGGAGGAGGAAGAAGAAGAAGAAGACCCAGAAAACGGGTCGGTCATCTGCGTCAACTCGTTCTACGTCGAGCCTGAGACGCTCGACATGTACCTCCAGGACGACCTGCAGTGGTGGAAGGGCGAGCGGGACCCAAGGGGTGTCCCGGTGGAGGAGTCGTACAAATGCCAGATGTGCGAGTTCGCGGGCGAGTGTGATTGGCGCATGAGGCTGGAGCAGGAGACGATGAGGATGGCGAAGAAGAAGAGTTTGGCGAGGAACAAGAATAAGGGACCGTCGGTTTCATGGTGAATCGTTGAGGAGTTTCAAAAGTATTCGGAGATATGATGATGATGACCTTTCTAGTTTGTCTTTGTGTATTCTGTTTGAGCGTGATACCCATGCTTTGAATAGCTCTTTGGGTTACGGGTGAACTTAATTAGTTCGGAACAAAAAAGGTGGGAGGGAATCGAGGCGTCAGGGTCAGGGTTTGGGCAATCTTCCGATATCTTTCTTCACAACGACAAATGCGATGGCACTTTGTTTCGGGACCAAGAATTGGCCTTCATGTACATCTCACATCTTACTTTCCCTCCAGTAGTTCATGAACTTTTCTCTTTTTTTTATGCTCGCGCAAAGGCCCTAAGGAATAAAATATGGCAACAAATAATATCCACGGCGCCCACGCTTTCTTATGAGATCCACAACAAACTCCAGCGCTGCCTGCATATTGCATCAAAAGCTTCCATGATAACATCAACAGAGAGCGCGAACCATCGCCCACTTTCCCATAACTTTTCCATCCGTTTCTATAAAAAAAAACAACTTAGTAAGAGCGGCCGAACATGCACCACTGCTCGGCAAGACGAGAGCACTCGGGGTTCAAGCACTTGGTCTCGCCCTTGACCAGACCCTCGGGCTGCTCAAAGGGAATGCAGAGGGACTTCATGCCCATAGAGGGGGCCTTCTGGGACTCGGGGCCCTCAGCAGCCTCGTCAGAGCGGCCAGTGGTGAGCTCCTTGATCTTGTCCTCGCATTCGGGGACAAGGCAGTGGGGGATGAGAACGACGTTCTTGGCGTCGAGAGCGGGGACAACGTCATCCCACTTCTCGATCTTGAGGCGGTGCTCGCGGAAGGAAACTTCGGCCTTGTTGTACATATCCTGCTGGATGGTCTCGAGGAGCTCGGGAACCTTGGTGGTGAGCTCGGCGATGGGGATGGTGCCCTTCTCGCCGGTGTCGCGGCGGGCGTAGCTGACGACGTCCTTGGCGGCATCCTTGGGACCGAACTCAATACGGAGGGGAACACCCTTGAGCTCCCAGTCGTTGAACTTCCAGGCGGGGGTGTAGCCCTCGCGGGTGTCCACGTCGGCGCGGACGCCAGCCTTCTTGAGGGTGGCGAGGAGCTCGTCAACCTTCTTCATGTGCGCGTCCTTCTCCTCGGCGGACATCTTGGCGGTGAGGCCAACGGGGATGAGGATGGACTGGATCTTGGCGATACGGGGAGGGAGGACCAGACCCTTGTCGTCACCGTGGATCATGACCATGACACCGATGACACGGGTCGAGAGACCCCACGAGTTCTGCCAGACGTGGATGTGCTTGCCCTTCTCGGCGGGATCCTCGACGGTGATGTCAAACATCTTGGAGAAGTTCTGGCCCAGGCAGTGAGAGGTGGCACCCTGGATACCACGGCCGTTGGAGGGAATGTAGCCCTCGACGGTGGTGGTGTAGTAACCACCGGCGAACTTCTCGGCCTCGGTCTTGCGGCCACGGACGACGGGGACGGCAAGGAGCTGCTCGTAAACACCGGCGTAGAACTCGAGGATCTGGAGAACCTCCTCACCGGCGGCCTGCTCAGTAAGGTGGGCGGTGTGGCCCTCCTGCCACATAAACTCACGGGCACGGAGGAAAGGAGTGGTCTGCTTGGCCTCCCAACGGACGACCGAGTTCCACTGGTTCAAGCGGAAGGGAAGGTCGCGATGGCTGCGGATCCACTTGGCGTAGTCTGGTTTCCCTGCGGTTAACACAACGGGCAGATGAAGATGTAGGCCAGACTCTTCATGACTTACAGGGGTACATGACAGCCTCGGAGGTAGGACGGACAGCCACGGGAACCTCGAGGTCCTTGTCGCCAGCCTTGGTAACCCAAGCCAACTCGGGGGCGAAACCCTCAACGTGTTCCTTCTCCTTCTCGAGCGACTTCTGCGACAAGAACATGGGGAAGTTGGTCTCCTCAACGCCGAGCTCGTCAATGTGCTCCTGGAACCACTTGCGGATGACGTTCCAGATGTACATGGTGGCAGGGCGCATGATGAAGAAGCCCGAGATCTCGGTGTAGTACTCGATCAGCTCGGCCTTGAGGACGACCTCCTGGTACCATTGCGAGAAGTTCTCCGACTTCTTGACCGTGATGCCGATGATGTCGTCCGCCTTCTTGCCGCCGACGACGGGGAGGGTGGCTTGCTTGGCGGCCTTCTCAGCCTTCTTAGCAGCCATCTGGGCGGCCTTCTCGGCCTTCTTCAAGGCGCTCTTGGACTGGTCCTTGTTCTCCTCCATTGCTGCGCAAAACGACGGGTATCAGTTCTCGGGTTCAGTGTGTCGCGTATGTGGAATTGACGGCGGATTGAGAGGAGGAATGGGTCGCTATATGTGTATATGTATGCCCAACACGGCACTGACTCACCGGCGGCAACTGAGTCAACTCGGGGGGCGGGACTGGGCTGGCTTAGATGATGTCTGGGAGTAAGGTGATGGAATGCGCCGAACACTGGACGAGACAGGAAACAGCACAGACTCTCTTCAGGCACACAAGCGGGAGACGGGCTTCACATTCAGCGCACACAGTTTTGGAGATGCCCCGCATTCGAGACCGGGACGGAACCCGCAGCATGGACACGCGCCAGCGATGCTCGGGCCCTGTCAAACGATCCCAGGGCCCTCGAGGGGCACTTGAGGTGGTGGGGTTTCTGGAGTCTGGATTCCGTCCGCTCTGGATGGAGCTGGACCTAGTCCTGCCAGCGAACTAGGTCAACAGCTGCCAGGCAAGAGAAGGACCCTGGGGGCAGCTATTGACAGCTGGTTCCTTATCGGTGCAAAGCGATAACATTTTTTTGATGCCAGCCAGCGCGGTCGCGCGGTCGAGGTCATCAATGCGGGCGGTGGGGCAGGGACGTGCTGAAGCTGCCCGCCTCCAGCTGTGTGGGCTTTGCCTGCCAGCACCTCAGCGCCTGAAGTTCAGAACAGAGAGGGGCCCGGCGGTCGGGCGAAGCTCTGAGAATCGAGATTGCTTGGATTCCACATTTGGCGTGCTGTTGCTGCTGGAGCTTCCATCCCGCCTTTCACAGTTAACCGTTGACCGTTGTGCGAACCTACCCACCTTCCTGACCTAAACCCAGCTTTTCGATCGTCTGTTTCCCCTCGCCCCTCGACGACGACGACGACGACGACGGCCGTAATCCATTCGCATTCCACACACATCTAACCATGGCTTCCATGTTCGCCCAGTCGGGCAGCGGCACCCTTTTCCTCGGCGGCCAAAAGATTTCCGGTGCTGATATCAGAGACCAGAATGGCAAGTCTCACCTGCCCCTGAGCCTCCAGTCACGGTTCCCACCATCAAGCAATGTTTGGGATAGCATCACGGTCTGGTCGCTAACCCATGATGGTTGCGTATAGTCATCGCTACACAAGCTATCGCAAATGTCGTCAAGAGCTCCTTCGGCCCCAGCGGTCTCGACAAGATGATGGTCGATGATATTGGTGTAAGTTGCTTCTCCCCCGCCCCTATCGCCAAAAGCTGAGTGAACCCCGCCATGCCTAACACTGTTTGCGCAGGATGTTACGGTTACAAACGATGGCGCTACTATCCTCAGCTTGCTCGACGTCGAGCACCCCGCCGGCAAGATCCTCGTCGACCTTGCGCACCAACAAGATAAGGAGGTTGGCGATGGCACAACATCAGTCGTCCTGATCGCGGCCGAGCTGCTCAAGAGAGGAAACGACTTGATGAAGAACCGGATACACCCCACAACCATCATCACCGGCTACCGTCTGGCCCTCAGGGAGGCGGTCAAGTACATGAAAGAGCACATCAGCATCAAGGTCGAGAACCTCGGTCGCGAGTCCCTCCTCAGCATCGCCAAGACCTCCATGTCCAGCAAGATCATCGGCGCCGATTCCGACTTCTTCGCCAACATGGTTGTTGACGCCATCCAGGCCGTCAAGACCACCAACAACAAGAACGAGACCAAGTACCCCGTCAAGGCGGTCAACATTCTCAAGGCCCACGGCAAGGGCGTTACCGAGTCGATGCTCATCAAGGGCTACGCCCTCAATTGCACTGTCGCCTCCCAGGCCATGACCACCCGTGTGACAGACGCCAAGATTGCTTGCTTGGATATCAACCTTCAGAAGGAGAGGATGAAGCTTGGTGTTCAAATTACAGTCGATGATCCCCAGCAGCTCGAGGCCATCCGCGCGCGTGAGTCCGGCATGATCATTGAGCGCGTCGAGATGATTCTCAAGGCGGGCGCAAACGTCATTCTGACGACAAAGGGTATCGATGACATGGTTCTCAAGCTTTTCGTTGAAAAGGGCGCTATGGCTGTGCGCCGCTGCAAGAAGGAGGATCTTCGTCGCATCGCCCGTGCCACCGGCGCCACCCTCCTCAGCACTCTTTCCGATCTCAACGGCGACGAGAAGTTCGAGCCCTCTTACCTCGGTCACGCCGAGGAGGTTGTGCAGGAGCGCATTTCCGACGACGAGTGCATCTTGATCAAGGGTACCAAGGTTCACTCTTCGGCTTCCATCATTCTCCGTGGCCCCAACGACTTCACCCTCGACGAGATGGAGCGCTCGGTTCACGACAGCTTGTGCGCCGTTAAGCGTACTTTGGAGAGCGGCAGCATTGTGCCCGGTGGTGGCGCGGTCGAGACGGCTCTGCACATTTACCTGGAGGAGTACGCCGGTACTGTCGGTTCCAGGGAGCAGCTCGCCATTGGTGAGTTTGCCCAATCGCTACTCGTTATTCCCAAGACCTTGGCCGTCAACGCCGCCAAGGACGCCTCCGAGCTTGTCGCCCAACTACGATCGAGGCACGCTCTGTCGCAGCGCATCCAAGAGGGTGAGGCGAACGAGGACGAGAAGATTGTTGCCCGTAAGAAGGCCTACAAGAACTACGGTCTTGACCTGATGAAGGGCAAGGTTGTGGACGAGATCAAGGCCGGCGTTATGGAGCCCAGCATGAGCAAGATCACGCAACTGAAGAGTGCGGTAGAAGCATGCATCAGCATCATGCGTATCGATACCCTCATCAAACTCGACCCTGAACAGAGGCCTGAGGATGATGGACACGACCACTAAAGGGGTTGTTGAGATTTGTTAGATGTTGCCATGTAGTTTGGGAGTACATAATGTATAGAAACTCTGGAAACTACCCAGCATGATATCAAGTCTGTGTACGTCATCTGCTTTTCCCTGTCATGATTTACTTGCGTTGCGCGGTTACGCAAGGCGAGCTGTCCCTGGCATCCTAAACATCACTGACTGGGGGAGTGCATTTCAACCCTAACCCTGCTCAGGGGTAAACCGAGTTCAATGTCAAACTTGCATGATTATTCGACCTTAACCCAACTACACTTCATCTCCCCCCCCTTTAACCTTGGTTCTCTTTTTCTCTTTTCTTTACCCCTCTGACGACCGTAGTTGAGAAGTCAGGAAGTAGTTTCTTCACTGTGTATCATATTGAATATCCTCGCAACATCTCCGACAAACCCATTCCCAGCCCGCTACCCGTGTCCGTTCTCTCCCTCGTACAATCCATCGCTCTCATGATTCACAACTGCTTGTAGCGCCGACAGTGATACGGTGAGGCTCACCGCTTCAAGCCCGATGAATGATCACAAACTCCGAGTTGATAATTTCTCTTCATCACTACACGGGCTTGGATCTTACCTCAGCTACGCCTTAGTTGAAAGAGTGTCGATCAGTGGACTCCGCCAAAGCGTCGAGACTATATCTACATTGCGAATAGGTGATGAAAAGAGCATCACTTTTGCTGTGATCGTTAAGAAACGTCCTACGAGCGGGTCCCCAAAGACAACTTTACAAGTAGGCAGACAAAAACGGCTGCCCATGTTAGTTGTGAAAGCCTTTCAACTACTTGCACGTGGAGGCGTTGACGCTCAAGGCCATGATATCACCTGAATCCTCCTCGTAGCACGGTGAAACTAATCCTTCGGCTTGACCATCATGTCTATGCGTCACGAAATGTCTGTTGGACTCTTTGATAAAGAGGGTAGAACAGGAGGATGCACGGTATCTCCAAGTACACATGCTCTTATGCGGGACACAGGTGACGATAAGTCTATATTAACCGCCCGTTGTTTTCCATTGAAGGCAGTCTGTTCTCGTCACCATCTCAAGCAAAAACCACATCAGACGTTCAAAACCATAACGCAGCGTACCAGTTCCATTCACACCAACAACTTCAACACAATTCCTCCTACGCAACCGCAACAATGAAGCTCACTATCATCCTCACTCTCGCCCCTACCGCCCTCGCCTTCACCAGGCCCAAGGCGAACGAATACAAGAACTCCGACTGGTAAGTACCTATCTATCTTACCTACCCTACCTCCTTCCCAACCTTCACCCATTTGTCGAACTGCACCTGAAAATCAGAGATGGAAAGTCTTCCAAGACCCGTCACTAACTCGACGTACAGCTCCGACCTAAACTACGGCCACAACTCCTTCTTCCTCGAGGACGTGACCATGGACGATACCACCAAGTCGGTCTACCTCACCGATGGTAGTACACTCGAGGGTATGCCTAAGGGTTGGTTTGGCTACTCGGACAAAACCGGCGACGGAGGCAAGTGCTCGGGCGAGAAACTGGGTCGGTTGCCGGAGAAGTGTGTCAATATTGACACTCTTGCTTCTGAGAGGATCAAGTGCGTTCGGTCTGAGGTCCTCTAGGTGAGCGAAAGTAGATGATGGGATTACCTGGGAGGGAAATGGCACGCCGTGTCAGATTCGTTCGAAGGTAGTGGAAATTATAAGCATGTATGAATAAATGGGTACCTCTAGCATTCAGAAAATCGTACAAATGCGGGCCGCGAACTCTGGCTCCGCTCTGTTGCTACATGTTCTACTTTGGAGCCGTTGACATGTGAACCGTTCCATGTTGGGGACTCAACTTCGAAAGTGCCCACCAACATCATTTTCTGGTGTGTTTACATGCTTCGAGAATGCCAACACAGAGGTTGGGTGGGCCCAATCGGAGTACGTCGCATTGCATATTTCTGATCTCGCCCAATAAGAGGTTTTATCCTATACCCGGGATGCATTATGACTATCCTGTGGGCTGGCCAGAGTCCTTGACTCGTTATCGTCATGATATGGATATATTGTGGAATCAACGATCCACCTTCAACATAACACCGACCATCGTCAAAACAAGAAATCGATGAACATCACGGCTATCCATCCACGGACTTGATCTCCTTGACTCCCACAGATTCGCATGGGAAAGTGCTTTTTTCCTACGCTAAATTCTCTGCACACCGTAGTTCTTTCCTCCGTTTTCGGCTCTTTGCCAGCGGTCTGTGTGTGGAGTTCCTTCGGTGATTTTATCCATCACTTAATCCTGAATCTAGACCTGCCTGGGCCCATCGACGGCCAGTTCTTATTCGAAGCGGCTTGCATATATCAGATTTGACTTTTATCCTCTTCTCGAGCATCTGCACTACTATTTCATTATTGTCCCAAGGGCTTTGCCTTCTTTTTTTTTTTTTTTTTAAACACGGAAGTTCAACACCTGTATTACACAATGTCCGGCCACTTCGACACCAACCCGCAACAACCCCCAAACCTCGACCCCGACGCCATTGAACTCGTCCAACGCAACCAACAACATGCGTCTTACGCCGGGCACGAGTCAGACCCAGAAGCCCTGCGTGCAGCCGGCGGCACTCCTCCTCCGGAGGGCATCGACCCGGCCAGCATTGCTTTGGTAGAAGACGTCCCTCCAGATGGCGGGTACGGATGGGTGATTGTGGCAGCAGTTTTTCTTATCAACGTCAACACCTGGGGCATCAACAGCGCCTGGGGAATTTTCATGGAGCAGTATATCCGTGAGAACACCTTTCCGGAAGCCAGCCATTTTGAGTACGCCCTCGTCGGAGGTCTGTCCGTCTCGCTGGCTCTGATCTTAGGACCGATTATTAGTGCTATCCAGAAAGCGTTGGGTACCAGGTATACGATGGTGCTGGGGTCGTTGATGATCTTTGCTGGCCTATTCTCTGCGTCGGCGGCCAGTCGGGTGTGGCATCTTTTTATGAGCGTGGGGCTTTGTATGGGATTTGGGTTTGGGCTGCTTTATATCCCGGTGAGTTCCTGTTCCACTACGATGCTTTAAAAAGAATCGAGTGAGTGGCTTACAGTGAAAACCAAACAGGCAATGGGACTCCTCCCCCCATGGTTTTCACGCCACCGAAGCCTGGCTCTCGGTCTTGCAACGGCGGGAGCAGGCGGTGGCATCGCATGGAACCTCATCACTGGCAAACTCCTTGCCGTTTCGGGATTGAAATGGACCTGGCGGATTCTTGCCCTTGTCTCCGTTGCTTTCAACATTCTTTGCGCCTTCCTCTGCCGCGAGCGGCCTATCAGCTCTTCCACGGGGTCGTCGAAACGCCGATCCTTCAACATCCGTGATTTTGGCAGGACCCAGGTTCTTCTTATTCTCCTGTGGGGTTTCATAACCGAATTTGGCTACGTCTCCCTCTGGTACTCTCTTCCGAGCTATGCAACCAGTATCGGCCTCACTCCATCCCAAGGATCCGTGGTGAATGCCATGTTGAGCTTGGGAGTAGGCGTTGGGCGCCCGCTTGTTGGGTAAGTGAGCTCTCTAACTAACATTGCCTCGCCATCCATTGCTCCTCAGCGTCAATTTCCGGCAGTCTGCTAATTTTCATATCACCTAACTAGCGCCCTCAGCGACCGCTTCGGCCGCATCAACCTCGCCCTCTTCTGCTGCTCTTCATGCGCCATCCTCTGCCTAACCCTCTGGATTCTCGCCCGCTCGTACGCCGGCCTGATCATCTTTGCCTTGGCCGCAGGCGCTGGAGGTGGTTGTTTCTGGTCCACGGTGAACCCCATTCTGGCGGAAACCGTCAGTCTCGCCGAAAGCAGTGCCATTTTTGGCACTATCTGCTTCGCCTTGGTAATTCCTACCACCTTTGGCGAAGCCATTGCGCTGCAGCTGGTCAAGGGTGGAGACGGCATAAACAAGTTCATTCCAAGCCAGATCTTTGTCGGTTGTACGTTCCTGGGGGGTACCGCTTTACTCATGCTCCTTCGCAGTTGGCAGATTTGCGAAATTGAGAGGAAAAGTGAGGGCATGGGGAGTGGTCAACATGAGGTGGGCCATAAGAGGTCTGGAGAAGAAAGCCGAACGGAAGGGGATCTGGAGGAAGGGGTTATGGCTTCGGGAAGAAGCGCTGGGGTGGCGGTGTTGGGCGAGTTGAGGAGCTCGGCTGCTGGGATGTGGTCTCCGAGAAAACTATTTGTTGCCAGGAGGGTGTAGAAATGGGTGGCATGTCACGGTAAAAAGCGTTTGTTTTACTCAGGTTTAGGACTGTTCAGCGAAACCATGTGTTTTGTATAGATCTAAAAGCACTAATTAACTCTCTGATGGCAGTATCTCAAGCCAAGCGACTACCTGTGTAGATATCCGCGTATATGCTTTAAACCCCGAGTTGTGCCTGGTTCTGCGCCTCAAATGCTTCCCTAACATAGGTAAATGATGGCAGCCGAACCGTGCTGGAAGCGCCGTTAGCAGAATAACGGGCAACAACCAGTAGAGGTAGTCAAGGGGTAGCAAGGGCGGAAAGTATGTACGACTCAAAGCCCTTCGAAGTGTAACCTAGTCTTCGTAAAACCTGTCCTGATCGTGCTTTCCATCAACACCGTCGTAACGAAGAAATGTTGCTCTTCGTAGATGCCGGAAAGAGAAAACTGCTCCATAGAAAAAGAGCCATCGAAAAAAGCAGAAGGAAATTGCAAGTGACAGTCAAGTTGTGAAAGAAATCCGCAGCTTCAACCTTCAGTAGCCTCTCACCAATCACTATCATCGCTGTCACTGCTAGAGTCGGAGTCGGAGTCGTTGCCAGACTCGCCCTCGCAGGTATGACGAACTCGAGAGCTGCCCTCGCCACCGTTCGTTGCGTCTGGGTGTTCATCACCCTTGTCACCTTCGTCCTCCTCATAATCACTTTCGATCACGAGAGTACCATCGCTTCGTCTACTCGTCCGTCCAAAAAGACATCCCACCTCCTCGTCCGTGAGTTTATGCTTGGTGTTGTCATTAGTCTGGATAGCCTCGCTGATGGCTTTCAGCTTGTCCTCTTGCATGTCGACCATCCTCTTGTCGATGGTATTCCTTGTTAGGATTCGTGTGAACCAACTTTCTTTCTTCTGCCCACTGCATTAATGTTAGCAACGACGATATACCACCCGGTTCTACGAGATAACACATCAATCGCCGTTGAACAGCAACTTACAACCTGAAGACACGACCAAATGCTTGCTTTTCTGCACATAATAGTCAGTATCATAGTGTGAGATGAACATCGGAAGGGGCATGAAACTTACCAATACCATTGTTCCACCAGGCATCCATTATTACTACGCGATTTGCGGCTGTCAGATTGAGAGACTGTCCTCCGACTCGCAACGACGATACCTGGACAAGACTTTGGTCAGTATCAGGAAACGGAGAGACCTCGCGCTGTACGAAAGTGATCAACCTGTCCTGAGATATGAACGCTTACCAGAACCTTGATCCTTGGATTCGTCTGAAAGGCTTTGATCTGGTCCTCACGGTCGGTGGGACCCATTCCGCCAACGAGGTACAGAAAGTCAATCTTCTCCTGCCGCAATATACGGCCCAGAATTCTAGCCAGCTGAATCCAATGCGTGAAAACGATAATCTTGTCGTCAGGGGCTTCATTCTGCCATTTAAGGATGATGTCCTTCACCCTAGTTGTTTTAGCGCTGGGTGTCATATTGATTGCATGCTTCCTGTCCGCCTCCGCCAGAAAAGTCTCCTTTTCAGGGTCGCCCATAGGTTGAAACCCATGAAAGTCGTCGCCGAGTGCAAACTCGCCTTCTTTACTCCTTCTGATCGTTTTGTAAGTTCCTTTCGCTGCCGAAGCCGCATCTAATACTGATACTTTGCGTGAAAATGAGACTGACCCCCTGTCTTCCCGCTGGTTATGTATGCTGTATTTGGTGATTAATGGGTCTAACAACCCACGACGACATATAGCAACTGGACAGATATAACGCTTCGCCTTCCGTGACTTTGCCCTCTCAACGTGATCACCGATGCAGCCAGGGCAGTAGAAATGATGACACTAAGGCAACAGCTGGTCAGTACAGCGCTAGGTCTGTAAAAGCTAAGAAAAGTGGGGGAAACCCTACCTTTGGATCATTATGTTCCGGTTCATCTGTCAACTCCAAACAGACGCTGCAGATCTCTGCTCTGCTTCTTTTGTTCATCTTTGCCTTTTGCATGCTGTCAAGCTGCGGAGCTATGTCAAACTCTTCACCATAATCGCCTTGTCCAAACTTGGCGTGGTCTTTTGGTCCATTTGAATGAAGCCTGGCAACACCCTGTTGTACTAGCCCATCACACCAGCGGCCTATCTGTTCCACGTATCTCTCATCGGTTTTGAGCTTAATAAGCCCTTCCTTCAGATTCTGTATTTCATCCGGCGTGAAGTAGTCACGCATGATAGACTCGAGTAGGTATGGGTGGGCGGTCGCTTGCCGTAATCGAAGAGCTAGGGTGAGGGATGATTTGATGAAGTTCTCACCTAGCACGTTCATCCCGGCACCTTGCCTGAACTCTTGGTTGAGTTCCTTCCTGAACTTGCCCTCTATCATCCTGTATATGAGCGTCTCTTCCCTCGAGAAGTCAACCCACAGTTCCAGATCCGGGTGCGTGATAGGGATGTCGAATAAAGCTCTACCCAGGAAAACAGTTGTGATATCCCTCTTCAGAACGATTTTAGAAAGAAGAGCGGAGAGATCAGCATGAAGACCTCGAGCTTGTTGGGGCTTTTTAAGCTCATATTTGTTTCTGAAATGCCTGAATGAAACAATGTTCGGGACTTTCAAAAAGCGCAGAAAGGGGTAAAGCTCGGAGAGACCGTTTTGAAGGGGCGTTGCGCTGAGTAACCACTTGTATTCACCCTGGAGCGCAAGACATGCCTTGGCTGTCTGGGTGTTGTGGTTTTTGATAGCGTGGCACTCGTCCAGAATTACTCGGAACCACTTCACTTTGAAGAGCTCTCCTTCTCGTTCCTTCATGCGCTCAGATACTTCTGGCAGGCTTAAACCTTGTTGAAGTAGAGATTCCTGAGACCGTTCATTCGGAAATCCTTTGACCACTTCTTGATAGCTGCTGACAACTATGTCCATCCTGTTCATGCTGCCCTGTCGCATGCGATGCTGGCGAGTAGAATGGTACTGATCGGATGTCATGCGAGATGTATGTTTTCCGATCTCCTCCATCCATTGCGAAACTGCAGAGGCCGGGACGACGATTAGGGTGCCACCACGAGTAGGATCTTCATCTCTGTCCCACGGAGGATTGCCAGCAATGCATGCCAAGGTCATTACTGTCTTTCCCAAGCCAGTATCATCGCACTGAAAACCGCCGGGAACATCTCCAGAACGTTCTCTGTTAACCATCCATCCAGCACCAGCAAATTGGTAGTGATGAAGCCGAGACCGAAGACCAGTGATCTTCCATGTGCCTCCATCTTGCTCGTAATTCTTTTTGCCAAATGCAACACGCGCTTCCCTCAACTGTTTGAGATCACCTGCGAGTATCTTCTTCTCCTGAGGGGCAAGTCCGTCGTCGGCTTCAATGACATCTTTGATATGCCTTTCCATCTTTTTAACGGTTCTTGCTTCCTCAGGGAGATGGTCGAATGTCGAGAGAATCCCCATACGCGCTCTGGCCTTCACTGGGTCGTCTCCGCTCAACATACTGGTAACCATCTGCATGGCTTTCTCCTTCTGCTTTTTCTTCTTGTGGGCCGTCATCTTTGGCTCAGGCTTGGGTTTTTTGGCTCTTGCCTTCCCAGGCTCCGCATACGCCCCTTTCCGTTTCTTGGTAGTATCCGATGTTGGAGCCCTGCTGTTACGGGGCGTATCTCTGTCCTTGTCTCCATCCACACTCGGCGGATCGATAGATGCCCCAAGTCTTCGTCGAATCCTCTCAATCTTTTGGTCGACTTCTTCAAGCCTCATCTCACCCGTTGGTGTTAATTTGCCCTTGGCGCTGCGGCGCTCCAGCAAATTCTGCTCTGCCACCAGTATCTGCAGCTCATACTCCATCTCCTCAATGTCGTCATCATCATCCCCCTCGTATTCATTATCGATATGCTGGACCTCTCTGCCAGGTTTTGGGCGTTTCTTCGGTGAGCGTTTCAAGCCATCTTTACCACCCGCAATGGGTCTGCGGCCGTGGCGGTGCCGCCGTTCGCTTGCGATAGATCCATCGGAGAGTTCTGCGTATTCGTCCATCATAAACTCATCTGTCTCTTCGCCTCTGTCGGAATGTTGGGAGACAAACAAATTGTCGCCACTGACTGCACCATTGTCGTTGTCATGGTCGTCAATTCCATTGTCATATTCTTCGACTTTGACAGTAACCTTCTTTCCGCCAAGACCGATAACATCAGGTGCAACTCGGACTTGTGTGCTGAAGGGCTTAGAGTTGGCCTTCATTCTGACGTGTTCCGGGACATCGGCTTCATCGATGATCATACAATCATCGTCATCGTCATCACCAACACCAACGGTTGAGTTCACAACGTCGTTCTTCCGGGATTTCTGTTGGTGAACTGGCATAATCTGATTGACGTCCAGACTAGCGACATCCTCCTGCTTGACAGTTGTGTCCTTGGCTGTGTTCTGGGTGCCGAAAGAAACTCGGTTCCGGACACTTTGGATAGAATCCTCAGGGTCTTCCGCCTTGATCTCATCGCCGCGAGACAGCAACCACTGCCGGCGTATCTCTCCAGTGGATCCGGTATGAGCGCTCATGTTGGGCCTTGCTGGAGCTGAAGATGCTCTTGTACCCCCATCTTCGGGATGTGAATCTGAGAGTTGCCCCATGATTATGTAGAGCCTACCCTTTTCTGAAAGACTAGAGATGTTGATGATATGGCTGGCTTTGAAGCGCAGTACTGAATAGCTATGACAGACATGTTAGAGAGATCAACGAGTGGTAGCTGAGGTGATTCTCAATTTTTTTGCAGGATCCAAATTGGACTTACCGAGAGATGTCTCTGAAATGTAGATAGTGGTAAGAGAGGCTAAGCTGAGCGTACTGTGACCTCCCCACCCCTTGGACACAGGTACTGAGTAGGGCGTCCGCAATGATAGGTGATGGAGTAGATGCTAGTGCTAGATGCCTTGGAGTGGGTGGGAACAGACGGGTAGAACGAAGACCATAAACAGGAATGAAGGTTGAGGTGCCGGAAGAAGAAGTGAGATGTAGAGAATTGGGGAGGAAGGGAGGTTTATATAGACTGGCAGGAGAGCGAGGTCGGAGGAGTTGGTAAGCGACGTATCTTGCTGCGGAGGAAGTCTCGCAGATGTTTGCCTACAAGGGCTATACCCGGCCTTTGCAAAGCGCCATTTTCATCTGGAATATCCGATTGATGATTTCCTGGGAGGAGGTCTCGACGATCTCAACCGCGGATACGGGGAAACAGGATGAAAGGCGTATCGGTCTCGTCTGGCAGACGTGGAGTTGCTTCTCGAGGCAGCCCCATCGAGTTAGGGAGGTGTTGCAAGTATTCATGGTGGACGGCCGCTCAGGAGGGTTCTTTCGACGGGAGGTGTGGTGGTTGATTGGGAGAAAGAAGTTTGTGGACTGAACTCAGGTGATGATAAACGCCGATTTCTGAGAAAGAAAAGGAAGTGAACTTGGGCGATGGGAAAATGCCTAGATGGTGGCTTTATTGGAAAAAGCAATAATGGCTTTCCAGGCCATTTCTAACTACCTACCTACCTCTAGCTACTTAGCTCTACTAAGTTGACAAGATAGTAGTGTGTTCGGGTGCTCTTTCCGACCATAACATCCTTCAGTTCCCACAGCACACATTGCACCTTCCCTGTGTCAATTCTCGGTGACGTTCAAGGCGCCGTGATGTCTTTCTGACAAAGAAGGAAATGGCGATCCGGGTGGATAAAATCTTCTCCGGCAATCATTATCATACATCCTGGCACTCCATTTTCCTGCCTCTGGACGCGGATTCCAGTCCAAAGGCTAGAGTTCACTGTTCTGATCAGAGAAGAGATGGAAAAGGAATGGATCCATAACTTTGGATGAGAAATCGCGACCGAACTAAACCGCCAAACGCTCGTGTAGATTTGCAACTCATATGGGAGCAATGACTGGGGCGTGAGTCCAATCTGAGAATCCCTTGAAGATAAACACACTCCCAGAACGCCTTACACAATTCAGAACAATATGACCGCAATCTCACCATCACCATCACCATCACCATCACCATCACCATCACCATCAATCCAACTCTCCAGTAATATACCCCATCTGCCTCCTGCCCCCTCCTGGCGGTCCCGCCCCATTCAAGCTCCTCGCCAACCTCTCCTGCGTCTCCACCAACTTCTTATGCTCCCCCAACCTCTTCACCATCCGCGCATCACTCATCGCCTCGATCCTCTCCATCTCCCTGCGTTCGTGCACCCTAACATCACTCAACTGCTTCGCCGCTTGCAACCTCTGCTGCTCCCACTGCGCCGTCTGTTCTCGCTTCCTCTCCTCCATCTCCAGCTCCGCCTCGCTCACCAGCCTAGCTCTCGATAATCCCGCTTCGAGAAGCTGGCGCTCATGCTTCATGCTCGCTTCGCGTTCAGCTTTACGACGGTGCAGTTCGGCCGCGAAGGCTTCTTCTTCGACGGTCTGCCGGCTGCGCACGGCTTCCATCTCCTCGTCCCGCTGCCGGCGGATGCGACTATCTTCTAGCTCGGCGCGCGCGAGGAAGATTTTGTTTTGCATGGTCGCAATCTCCTTTGTGCGCGCAATGGCAATGTGGTGTTCCTCTGTCTCCTTTTCGATACGCTCGGCGCGGGCGCGACGTTCACGTTCGGCGCGAAGGAGCTCGCGAGGCAGGTTGACGGCGCCGTCGGGCTGTGGCCCGTCGTTGGCGTAGTAGACGTCCCGGCAGCGGTAGGATCTAAGGAGGTTGAGGAGGGCGGAACGGTCGGTGCTGTTGGGCGGGAGGACGCGGAGGAGGTATTGGGTGGGAGAGTAGGTGTACACGCCGTCGGTCCATTGGTGGTCGGGGGCGTTGATGGTTTTCCAGACACCGGCTTTGAGGAGAGCGCGGGTGATGGGGAGTGGGTCGGTGGAGTGCAGGGCGAGGAGGAGCACGGATTTTCCGTCGGCTTGGATGGAGAGGTCACTGCCTCGCTTGATCAGTTCGGCCATGACTTTTTCCATATCCTTTTCTTGCGTTGATGATAGGGGGCCGGTTTCGGCTGCGTTGAGGCATAGTTCTCCCAGGGCGGAACGGCCGCCATGAACGATACTAGGGAAGTCTGGATCGTGGCCGAACTCGATCAGCACTTTAACTGCTTCGAGGTTGAGCTTCCTAGCGGCGTTATGCAGTGAACCATCGTTGAGAGATGGCTCGGCAGCCAAGAGACTCGCCATCATGGCTGTGCCTAGTTCGCCTCCAATCGCAGTAGCCAGTGCCATCGGAGTGTTGTTTTCAGCATCGGCAACATCCACATCTGCACCAGCGAGAAGGAGCGCCTTGACCAGATCTGGCCGTCTGTGTTGGATGGCGAGCATGAGCGGAGTCTGTTTAGACACTCGTGTCTCAAAATTGACCTTTGCCCCTTTGTCAATGAGAAGCTGGATGATACTGCTGCTGATGCGCTTTTGAGGCTGACTCAATGCCCAGAAAAGCAGATTGACCTGTTCCTCTTCGCTGCTATCCATGACTCTCATGGTCGTGAGCTGATCATGATAATAGCCTGCATTCAGAAGCGTTTCCAGCAGTTTCTCTGACCGAGGATATTTGTTGAGCGCACGAAGTAGAATAGGCGGGGAGGACGGTGTCATGACGTCTAGCCCTTCTCCCTCAAAGTCATAGCAGATGAATAGTTCGACCAGTGACAGAATCTCTTCCTCTTGGAGGTCTGCGTCAAATATGTGGGGAAACGCCATGGAAACCGAGTGAGCATCTGGATTCTGCTGCAGAATCAGCTGTATAAGCTCCGAATCCGCCTTCTTGGCTGCTTTCTGCAGCACGAGCCCATCCTGACAAGTGACGCTCGCCCCATGTTGTAGCAAAAGTGTTGAAAACCGACGAGCCAGTGCTTCATGTTCAGTCCCGTATGCGTCAACAGCAACATTCAAAGCCGGGAACAAAGGCTCACCACCCTCTGCGCCCTTCTCCAGCAACATCCCTGCAATCAGGAGACCTTGTTCAGTCATCCAATCCTCAGCTGCCTCTGGAGTAAAGGAATGTTCGAAAGTCCACGAGACATCCTTTCCGGGAACATCAAACGTCAGCAAAGCCTCCAGCACATCAACCCGGTACGACCGAGTCGCATCCATCAACGTCTCGCACCCATTCACCAAAGGCGAAGCACCATGTGAGAGCAGGAGCCGAATCAAGCGAACATCGCTCTCCTCCTTCACAGCCCTATGCAGCGCGGTATGCACATCCTCCGATGGCTCTAGCCCTGCAGCAAACAGCCACTCAATGACTTGATACCTTGCTTCCTGGCTCAATTTCCGGCTGGCTTTCAATGCTTTAAGCAAGGTCTGTTGCGATGGTTTCTTTTGCCCATCACTTGCTGCCTTTTCCACACCCAACATCAACTTTAGACTTTTCAGCGCTGTCCTCTTGGTCGCCTTCCAAATAGCTTCGCCAGAGTTGTAATCCGGATCCGCCCCATAAGAAAGCAGCAAGCGCACCAGAGCCTCGCCGTCATCGCCAAGAATTCCCGCGGCAATAAGCTGTTTGTCCACGACCTCGCCGTTGACTCCTCTTTCCAGCAGGAGTCGGAAGATTTCCGTACGATTCTTGACATCCGTGACACTAACACTCGCTGCTTCAAACCCCTTTACTAAAATTAGTTTCTTGACCTGGGCCGTGGGGTGCAACAGTGCGCCCAAGACGGAGATGGCAGCGCTCTTGCAAGCTTCTACTATCGCTTGACCTTCCTGGTGCTCGAGGCTGGCTCCGTGGCCCATCAAGAGATTGACAAGTATCAGGTTTCCATCGGACGCCGCGGTGACGAGTGCGTCGGAGATTTCAGAACCGGACACCCCCCTCTTAAGCAGTGATGCGCAAATCTTAGGATTCTTGAGCTTAACGGCTTGTGCAAAGGTGGTATTGAGCACCTCCGCAGGGTATTTTCGTGAAGATCTTGCCAAAATCAATTCCACTGCTTGAGCATCCTGCTTCTCCACCGCGAGACCGAGGGCTTTGCCATCTGTTGAGTCGGCGTAGGCTGATAGAAGTTCGATCAGTTGGTAGTCAGACAGATGGGCATGTAGAGCGTAGCTCAGCGCCCTATTAACTTCTATGCTCGGAGTGCCGGCTTCGACAAGCTTCCGGGTGAAATCTTGACGGTTACTGGAATCCGGTATGTTCACCGAATGCCGAAGTGCCGCAGCTAGGGTGTCTGGTGCTGGCTTAACACTCAGCATTAGGTCCATCAACTGTGTGCTACATGCCTTTACGGCGCAACAGAATGCGGCGGCGTTGTGGGAATTGATGTCCGCACCGGCTGAGAGAAGAGTTCCAACGACATCATAGTTGCGACTTTCCAATGACATCTGAAGAATTGTCTGAACCTCGTTGTATAAGAGAACATCTAGGTGATCCTTTTGTGGGATATGGCATAGGAGAAGAAGAGACATTTTGGCAGCTTTTGCAGCTGTCGTTGGCACTTTTGAGAGATCGTTGAGGCCGCGAATCACTGTTTCAGGTGTCGGCTTTCCGTACTGGACAACAAGCTCGAGGATGGCGGGATCGGGATCGCGAACAGCTTGGAACGGTTAGAAACGCATTATCTATAAGAACAGAAACGTATAGGTCAAGCATACCGAGAGTGACAGGCTCGCCGTCTTTGAAGTTGGCATCCACGTTACCATGCTTCAGCAGGAGAGAAAATAGTTGTACATCCAGGGGTTGGGTAGCTAGTAATTGTGACAGCGCCGCGGATACTTCGTTCCCTTCTCGACCAGCGCCTGCCTGAAGCAATAACTCGACGATCGTATACCGGACTTCTTGATGTTTAATCAACATGGCTTTAGCCACAGCCGCAAAAGACGTTTGAGGCGAGAGTGGCTTCTTGAGCATTTTGCGCAAGAGTGGTACATCCCCAACAGCAATGGAAGCCAAGACTCCGAATTTATTGTCGGAGTACGTGCCTTCAGTGTATCGCAAAAGAAGGGAAATGAACCTGTCGTCTCGTCTGGGGTGTTGTTCTTCGATTGCCCCTGTCAACGCAGCGGATAGACAGGGTCCAGAAAGCCCAGCAGCCAGAAAAGCCTCGGTAATGAGGTAACGTTCATTAGGAGCCAACTTCTTGACCTGCGGAAACACTTGCTCCAGCGTTGACGGGGACGGCTTTCCTGTCAGAAGCTTCTTCACCATGTCTATGTTCTCCATCATGACTGCGTTGTTTAGAGCCATTCCATTCAAGTGGTCTACCGAGGCCACTTCATGTCGGGCGTGCTTCATCTGTGGCGAGCCTTTTCGGAGCTTCCCTTCTGGAACAGGGTTTTCGGGGAAATACGGTGTAAGCAGCAAATTTACCGACTGATCATCTCCAGCCCTCACCGCAGCAATGAGCGCGTCGCCCAGCGCAGTGCCCCCGGCACCTTTCCGAAGCAGGATGCTGAGAAACGCATATCGGTTTTCCGGGCTGACTGTCGTCGGAATCACTCCAACACACCGAGACGCGAGGCTGGGACTCAGATGCGTTCGATCATTTAATAGTAGCTGAAGAAGGTTGCAGTTTCCTTTCGTAATGATATCACATAGTACCTTGGCATCCTGGTACTCAACTGAAGCTCCGTTTTTGAGCAAAAGATGAATCATGTCGACATTTTCAGCCTGGCACGCTTGCTGCAAGGCGACGGCCGCCATATCGCCAGGGGCACCGGCGCACAAAAGCGCCTCTATCAAGAACAGCTTCTCATTGGGGCCAATGGATTGGCTGAGAAGCTGTTTGAAGCTCTCCATCAGACCGGCCCCTCCAGGTGTAGGTGGCTGTCTCCCCGTCAAAATGGCGAGTGCAATGTCAACTCTGCTCTGCCCAATCGCTGTCCTGAGAGCTTCGGCCGTGTCAAAGTCGGCATCCGCGACTGACCTGCTCAGTCTCCAGACTGTCTCAAGACAGCCCTTTCGTGAGGCATCTATGAGGCATAAGGAGAGTAGCTGTGACGAGAAGCCGCCCGGTGACTGAAGAATAAGTCCTATAACATCCGGATGACCACCAGCAATACATAGTTGTCGAAATTCGATTTGGGCATTCTGCGACTGGGCAGGATTTGCGCCGCGTTGCAGTAGCAGGCCCAGTATTATGAGGTCTTTGGATCGTATTGCGTCGGGTAATGCCATGTCGAGCGCGATATAGTCTGCATAATGGACTAAGACGGAAACCATGTCCATTTGACGGTTCTGGATCGCCTTCTGCAATATCTCACTCCGCTCCTGGGACTTCAAGCTCCTTCTTCTAGACAGGATGGAGTCTGACCTGCTGCCTTTTAGAGCTTTGATGTTCGGATCCCCCCCAAGCTCGAACAGTTTTCGGATGAGAACATTTGCGACAGCGGGCGAACCCCCAGACGCGACATGGTTGTCGAGGACGTCGAAGATTTCTCTGGCTTCCCATGGCTTCTTGGTAGACGAAAAGGCTCGTTTTAGGGTACTTTGTGAGCTTTCAGGGTTCTCAGCTTGTCGTCGGTGTCTGAGGAGTTCTTCCGCTTGCAAATCATCATGTGGGCTCGGGGTAGGTAGTCTGGTCGGAGGGAGTGGCGGGATAGGCGGTAGCTCGGTAACACCAACGGCGACAGCGAGTTCCAGGAGTCGGGCCCGCCGACTATCCTGTGAACGTTGAGGCGACACAGCTGCCATTTCGACCTTGTCGTTGTCGAGCTTCACAAGCTGGATACGGCTAAACCACGGGAGCAAGATTTCGGCCCCGTGCCGCTGTAATGGCGTGAGTTTGGTTCAATGTCCCATATCATTCGAAGAAATAGAATTCGGCCTATACGTGAGCTTCCAATATGCGGCTGATTGGGCAAAGGTGCTCTCCGTTATGAGGAAGCAGGCTGTCGAGGGGAATCTAGCTGGTCACCGATAAAAGCGATGGTACGATAGTTCGGCTGGGCCGTAGAAAGGGTTCAAGTTGAACAAAGGGAACACGAGTTCAAGCCTCGTCCCGCCTCTTTGGCAAACAGTCGATATCCAAAACCGTGTATTATGTGGTGACGTGGTGGCGGGGCAGTGTTGGTCACTCAAATGCCTGCCCGCTTAGGTACCTGACAGCCAGTAACGTACAATTGCAGAAGACTGGTATGAGATCATTGTGAGAAAGGAAAACGATCATGGAAAATTGACTACCAACTTCCACTTGGATATTCAAGTTGGGCAGGATCACTCCATTGCGCATTCTGAAACACTATGATGATAATACACCAAGCTGCGCCGAAGCTCTCACTGTGGATACATGGCTCTAAGCCCAGGCAGCTGGATTTTGGCGAGGAGCGTTCGTACGGCTGAATGAATGGAAAGCCACCTCCAAAGATAGCACCCGTGGGATCGATATCCCTAGGTACCCAGCCGTGCGAATCTCCGACAGGTAGGTAGAGGCGATTTCGACCAGTCTTTCCCCCCCTCTCGTGGCGGACGCGCGCTTGGGGAGTGACAAGAGTCGACGATCAACAAAACGCTTGCGAGGCCCTTTGTGGAACAGGCTCAAATCTGGGCATGGTCGCGGAGCTCTGTCCACTCAGGCCACTGCTTCCTCAACATTGCTTTTTCCTTTGGCACCGGAGTACGAGGTACTGCCCCTGTCTATCAATAACCTTCATGTCGCCGCTCGTTCCAGACTCCAGAGAGTTTGTCATTCTCCAGTCATTGACGAGTGCACTGGTGCTGCAGCCAAAGCGCAAGCACTCGATGCGCGGTTGGAATGGCATGTTGGATGAATGGATGGATGAATGGATAGGAATCCTCCACAAGCAGACACGAGCTGACTGCATTGATGAGATGTGAAATGTGCGATTGCGAGAAGACGTGGCGTTTGAGGTTTGGACGATGGATGATGGGATGAAGACCAACGGAATGCCATCCTGTTATTGCATGTGGAAGTTGAGTCGGCCCCGGCAGGCCATCTCGTCTTCTACCAATCAAGCCGCCAATCAAGCATTTTCCAAGTCACTGTCTTCAACGTCTCACTCAATCTTCAACGAACTGTGCCTGAGCTGAAGAAATGGCGCCGGAGGAAACGAGCGGAATCGGAAACAACAAGGCGGACTCTGCAGATCGCGACGCCACGAGGGAATTGTTATAGCGTACGGGAAGACCTCATCCGCGTAACCGAGGCTAACAGGAGGTTTCACTCAAACCAAGAGCCATACAAGATACGGTCATTGTTCGTTCCATTTTGTGGTTGGCAGGCAGCATCTTCTGTAAAACCGATGCAGATTGTTAGTGCCCACGACCCACCAATTGATTTAGACAGGTCTTGGCGAGATAGTACATGTTAGTTCCAGTCAACGAGATGCCAAACGTCATCGGGCTTTGACGTCTCGAGTATCGATACATGTTTGCTTCGCCACGAGGGGCCTGATATTACGATGAGTATCCCGAGCGCCGGATGGTTTTATGTTCTTCTGATCTCATGCTTTTTCTCCCGTTTTAAGCTCCTACACACAAGGTTTCACCCGATGAACATCTCCAACAGCAACAGCAACAGCAACAGCAGACCAGGCTGATCAACAAGACTGATTGTTGAATCGCCCGTACCTGGCATGGCTGAATGAGCAGAATTCGTTGCCTGTCCATCTCGATCATCAACTCAAATCCGGAGGTCCGCCGCTGCTTGGACGCAAAGGATGACTGATGGTTGGTTGAATGAAGACGGCTGTAAATGGACTTTCAATCCGGAGCCGCGGATCCCCTCCCCTTCAGCTGCTCCACTCCGAGATCCCGATACCGAATAATAGCGCCACCCGGACGGAAGGGAACCGAGTAAGACACACCGCGACTCTTCATATTGCTGCCGAATGCTATGACTTCGGTTCCGCGATAATTATCAACAAGCTCTCGATACTCCGTGTCACACCCTCATGATTATAGGATGAATATTTCACCTCAAAATGCTTTCTAATCATCGATCAATGAACAGATTTATCGGAAGGTTGTATATTCGGTCCAAAGCCGAACAACACCTGATCAAGGTACCATTCGGCTGCTTCACGGTTAATAGTGTGTTTGATTACATCATCGGCCCGTCTTATCTTCTATCTGTGAGTTTCGAAATGCCGTTCGGATTTGGATGGACGCTCAATAGTAAACAGCCGGGAGAGCACAATCGTTGACAAACGTTCGGGGATAAACGGGAATCGTTTCCCCATATCTTGTTTGTACAGGTTGGAGGTGCTTTTTCGCATCACGACCAAATCAACGGATTGACGTGATAGACTTTGTTCTCCGTTCTCACCCGGCCAGTCAGTGTGCAAACGCAGTCAGTCCCCTTACCGCAGTCCGCACTACGCAGTTCTAGTGTAGCTCGTCGTGGGGCCAACCAGTTCGGGCCAGCAAGGTTCGAAACACATCAAACACGACGATGATGACCGCAGGCGCCGGTTCACGTCACGCTACCGATATCATCTCCACCATCAACACCATCGCGGTCCACCGCAGTCGTAGTCGGCTCCTTGAGCTTCCCCTTTTAAACTTGTTGACCCCCTCGAGTTCATCCTGTCGTCGTTTTGCTACTACTTCTGCTGCTTTAACGAACTGTTCCTGCCTTTGTCGGCCTTCACCACTAACATCGCCAATTCCCGCTTCCCCGCACCAACACCACCATCGCAACATCCACCCCACGCCGTTCGTCTGCCCGGGCACCAATAACATTTGTACCACCAGCGTAAATCATAACAATTTCCGAGCCAAAAACACATATCTTTATTCCACAATGGCTGCCGAAATTCCAAAGACCATGTCCGGCATCGTCATCGAAAAGCCCGGTGGCGTCGACGTCCTCAAGTACAAGACCGACCTGCCCGTGCCCGAGATCAAGGAGGGTGAACTGCTCGTCAAGAACGAGTACATTGGCGTCAACTTTATTGACACGTAGGCTTTCTCTCACCCTCCCCTTTTTCTTTTTACCTTTTATATAAATTTCCCAAAATAAACCCTGTCTAACCTTCCCCCTCCCCGCCCATAGCTACTTCCGAACAGGCCTCTACCCCTCCTCCTCGGGCTACCCCTTAATCACAGGCAAAGAAGCCTCCGGCACTGTGGTCTCCTCCAAACACCCCCGCTTCTCCCCCGGTGACCGCGTCGCCTATCTCGGCGACGCTGCCTACGCGGAATACACCGCCGTATCTGCCTCTCGCTGCATCGGTCCCCTTCCTGAACGAATCTCCTCCGAGACCGCCGCCGCCGCCCTGCTCCAGGGTCTCACAGCCCTTACCTTGGTTCGCGAAGCCGCGGGCATCGAGCAAAAGCTGGGAATCAGCGAAGGGCCCTGGGCGCTGGTGCACGCGGCCGCGGGCGGCACGGGCTCGTTGCTGGTGCAGATCTTGAGCGTCATGGGGGCCAAAGTGATTGCTACGGCCGGAGGACAGGAGAAGTGCGAGCAGGCGCATCACCATGGCGCGCAGTGGACGATAGATAACAAGAGCGAGGATGTGGTGGAGAGGGTCAAGGAGATCACGAATGGACGCGGGGTGGATGTGATTTTTGATGGAGTCGGTAAGGCTACGTTTGATGCGGATTTGGAGATGGTGGCCAGGAAGGGCACGGTGATTAGTTTTGGAAACGCGTCGGGCAAGGTGGAGCCGCTGGATATTCTGAGGTTGGGGGCCAAGAATATCAAGGTGATGAGGCCGGTTCTGTTTGGATATATCGTCACCCCGGAGGAATGGGAGAGGTGGACGACGGAGTTGTTTGAGCTGATCAAGACGGAGAAGGTCAAGATCAAGGTCCATGAGGTCTATCCCCTTCAGGAGGTGGCGCGTGCGCACACCGATCTGGAGGGCAGGAAGACTACGGGCAAGCTGTTGTTGAAGCTTTGAGGAAAAACGATCATAAGTAGCCAGTCAATATTCATCCACACATAGCCCTGACTTGGATATGACGATATAATAACAAAACACGGAAGGCATCGCGGCATGCAGAATTCATGCAGACTTTCACCTCGGTATTCTTCTATAAGATGCTATCTATGAGGTTGATTACGTTCAATCGGAGGGGGTGTCATGAACTTGAGCAATACGTAGCAACGTAGCGGAAGAAATCATAACACAGTCGTAACAGAAAAAAAGGGGGGAATAAAGCAAAGGGGGAATTGTTAAAACAGTGTGATGCGACCCAGAAGCCCCAAAACGATAGAAGCCAGAATGTAATAAGTGTGAAGGTAAAAAAAGAAAAAAAAAAAAAAAAAAAAAAAAAAAAAAAAAAAAAAAAAAAAAAAAAACCGAAGAAGAAAAGGGTGGTCGTAAAGCAGTGAAGAGCCCGAGAGCCCCTTTTAGTTCTTGACGGCCTTGCTGGCCTTGAGCTTCTCCAAGAGCTCGGCCGGCGGATCTTGTCGGTAACCCTTGGGGTTGTTCTCCACCCAGCGCCATAGATCGGCGCATGCGTCCTCCAGGGTGAGCTTTGTCTTCCACTGGAGCTCCTCGTTGGCAAGCGCGGGGTTGGCAGTCAGATCCAACACATCGCCGAGTCTCCTATCGACAACCTGGTAGGGCAGGTCACGACCGACAACCTTGCTGAAAGCCTTGATCATCTCGAAGACTGTGCTGCCACGACCGGAGCCAAGGTTCCAGGCCTTGACACCAGGCTTCTTTTCGCGGAGGTAGTTGAGGGCGGCGAGATGACCGCTGGCAAGGTCAAGGACATGGATATAGTCGCGAATCGCAGTGCCATCCTTGGAGGCGTAGTCTGTCATACAAGGTTTAGCATCCTGTCATGTGGGTTCGAGGCTGTTTTTGCCGGGTGGGACTACTCACCGTCACCGAATACCAAAAGCTTGTCCCTCTCCCCAGTCGCTACCTTGCCAAGCAAAGGCAGGAGGTTGTAAGGAACACCTTGAGGGTCCTCGCCCATGATACCGCTGGGATGAGCACCGCAAGGGTTGAAGTAGCGGAGCAAAGCGCCGTTCCACTGTTCGAAGGGCTTGCCCGCCTTTTTGGCCTTCCTCCTTTCGGCTTCAATATGGTCGCTGATGACGGTCTCGATCATCACCTTTGTATGACCATATGTGTTGGTGGGGCCAATAGGGCAGTTCTCGGGAATGGGGATCATGCCAGGGATACGGGTGGCATCACCATAAACAGTGGCGGAGGACGAGAAGACAATGTTGGAGACATTGTGCTTGGCCATAGAGCGGAGCAGGGTGATGCTGCCGCCGACATTGACACGGTAGTACTCCAGTGGGATTTCGCCAGACTCGCCAACGGCCTGCAGGTCCACAAAATACGACTGTTAGCTGATGATCACACCACAAACACAGACGGACATGACATCGGGTGATGGCAGATGTGCAACGTACCTTGAGGGCGGCAAAGTGAATGACGCTGTCGATGTCGGGGTGCTTGGAAAACACATCGTCGAGGCCGGCCTCATCTGTGATGTCGACCTGGTAGAAGGTGGGACGCTTGCCGCAGATAAGCTCGATGCGGTCTAAGGCGGCCTTGGACGAATTGAGGAGACTATCGACAATGACGACATCGTAGCCGTTGTCGAGGAGGGCGAGGGTGGTGAAGGAGCCAATGTAGCCAGTACCACTGCAAAAGCAAGCCGCAATCAATATCTCAAGCCGCGACAACAATAACAAGGGCAAAACGCCACGCGCGCTCACTAGACAACGATGACGACGACGGTGGGAGAAGGACGTGATGGGATGATGGGTGGTTGCGGCGTGCAATTGCGCGCGCGCCCGTCGAGGCGTTTCGTGTGTTATTCAAGGCGATCCACACAAACTGCCCGTGCGGCGGGAATTGGGCGCGGTGCAGCATCTTCAAGGATGACTGCCTGGCGCAGTGTTGTTGTAGTTGGGCTGGGCGTTCGGGGAGGGTGGTTCGTGTCGTCGGGTGTTGGAGCGGAAAAAGGGCTGGAAGGGCTGGTCTTACCCGGTGACGAGAACTGTTCCCACAGCCATTTTGAATGCTCGATAACGCGATAGCTTTGTTTCCTTTTTTTCTTTTTCCACTTCTCTTCCAAAACTGAAGTGATGCTGCTGCTGCTGCTGCTGCTGTTGATGCCGTTGCCGCTGCTACCGTGGAGAGAAGGAAACGAATCAAACACACAAATACACAAAAAGAGTGACAAAGGGTGGAAGAGGATGGTTTGGTAGGACCGGTTAAAGATAGAAAGGAATTGTGGTTGGTAGGAAATGGTAAGTAGCGAACGAGAGGGCGGCAGGGCAGCGCATGCAAAGGTTAATTAAGCTCGGTCTTGGAGCCTGCAACGAGGGGTCTGTTGGTCCGGGAATGGGGCCCTGGCTTCCATTCCCTGGGCCTGCGATGGACCGTGATGGACCGGCATGGGTCTAGGCTGGACGACGGCACTATCACATCCTGGTGTAATCCTGCAATGGCATACCGACGGGTCCGGTCATGAAATGACGATTGTCGAATTTCGCTAGACCGTAGTTTGCCGTGGGGCGAACATGAAACGACAGGGAACCACATCGGCGACCCAAACAGAAGCAGGACCGTGGTGATTGTCGATGGGATCATTGTATGGAAATTGAGATGAGACTCCCGTCAGAGGTGTTTTGCCATCCGTTGCTCGCCGTCCCGGGATTACCACGTTACCTCTACCCTGCACAGCACCCTGCGACCGGTTGCGGGTTCTAACGGGTGCAGCCTTTCCTGGATGTTTTGTCGCGACATGCAACGGCAAGGTTTTGGAATTCGGGGTACCTACCAGACCACGGCAACCCCATCTGCTTCTGAGAAGCTTCCATCCAGGCCTCCCCCGGTCTCCCCCTGCTGCCAAGTTCTCGAGATGGTTCTATTGTAGTGGTGTAGTGTGAAAGGGGAGCGGTAGATAGGTAAGTACAGTAGGTAGGTATGTGCAGTTTTTAGTAACATGGATGTGACAAAAGTCAAGACCTGGGGAGCCCACATCGGGCTTCTGGGGGACTATGCATAGCCTACCGTCAAGCTTTTTCCCCATTCTTCTCGATGTCTTGGCCCGGGGAATAAACATGCCTCCCGTCTCTACCCTACACCAGGGGCAGACGGGAGTCTGGGAACTAAGCTAAGGATTTACTTTCCCACTTCGGATATCAGCTTCGGAGACTCGAGACGCAGTAGCCAGTAAAACGATACACAGTTATATTAAATGATAGCCAGCGGGCAGCACATAACAAGTTGCAATGTTCCATGGTGGAACGTGCAATTTGGATCGTCTCTGCTGCGCCAGTTAGAGAACTTGCTTGCGCTGGAGGTCCTGGAGATGTTGTGACAATGAAAACTGCCTGGGAATGCTGGTGGAGCCTCAGTTGCCCCAGGTTCATCCCATCTCGATGTCGTCAAGTCCGTGCTAGGCAGATTGCAGTGAGAAGAGACGGCGATCAGACCGGATTGGAAGGACAAGAGATTTCGGTCTACCTGATCTGACACGACACAGCCCTGGCTCCCCTGGACGGGACCGTGGAACAAGTCCCTGATTCCGTCCTCGAGCCCCCGAAGATCGGGAATTCAAGATAGTGTACAGCAACGGGAACTGCATATCTCTCGCTTAAGCGCATATCGGTTCGCTTATTCATCGAGCCATTCCCGCGCTCTTCATTCCCTTTCCCTTCCAACCGTCAGCCTCCACCCAGACGCTATGATTTTGCTTGGCGCCGCGCGACTGGGCTGAAGTGGGGAGTTGACATCAGCCGAGGCGGGAAGTTGCACTTTGTGAAGGAGCACGAGCCACAGGGGACGGGAGCCAAGGCGAGTGCCCCCTGATGCCTGACCTTCCACTTTCGACGCAAAGGAAAAGCGCTGTTGCGGCAGGCAGTCGGCCGCGCCAGCAGTGCGCACACAGCTGTTTCATCGCATCCTGTCCCGTCTTCAATCTTTGCTCCAAGCTGAAGGCACTCCGTCGCTTTCTATTGTGACTGCGCTGCGTCAAAGACAGACGGACCTTCGACGAAGAGCAGCCGAAGGGTCCCCTTTGCAACAAAAGGCACCATCAAACAAGAGGCCTTCACCAGACAATGACTGCTAACAAAGGCAAGGCGGACAGCTACAGCTCAACATGAAAGGCAGCTCGAGTCAACCAAGACATCCACAAAGAGACGAGGCCGTTTTCAGAACAAAAGACACCAGCAACTTGCCTTGTCCGTTTGCGAATGGATGCATGCATTGTCAACAACAACAACAACAACATCCCTACTTACCCCAAAGACATCACTGTAGCAAAGTAATAATCATCTTCTGATTCATTTCCGCCGGGCCCCCTTTTCTCAGCGCTTTTCTGTCTTCATGCTGGACAAGCCACCGATCTCAACCTCAAAACACTGAATGGAAAAAAAGAGTGAAGCAAAAGTCAATTGATCCCCAACATCCACGACGTATCCACAATTTCTGTCAGGGAAAAAAGACAGGTTCCCAGCGTTAGAAGGCTTTCGCTCAATTCTCCTTTGATCGCTGCTGCAGCCTAGCATCGCGTGCGTGCCATCAATCGAAGCCACGCGTGTCGAGTCTGCAAGGGAACACTGCACATCATCGCCGAGGACCCGACTACCCGACTTTTCACTACCTTCAGCGAGGAGGTTGGGTTACTTTTCTTCAGGTCTCCCTCGCGTCGGATCTGTTGGCGCAATTCACCAACGGTATCGAGTAATCACCTTGGGCATCCGTAGGGCTCTTTAGCAGTTTCACCTTGATTGGAGGCGGGTGCCACGTGTTGCGCGCCTCGCAAATAGCAAAAGTCTGGTTGCCGTTCAGTCGCAGTCGCAGGCGAAGGCGCATCAACATATCGCAACCACCCGAAGATCGACCTCCAATATACAGACCGGCGGCGGCTTCGTTGTCTGGCTGAACGGGACAAGAGGACGCTCACCCAAGCAAATTCGGCCTGCAGCGGCAGCCTCACAAAAAGAACCCAAAGAGCCACCTCACGGCTCTGCATTTCGGCCCAGCCTCTTAACACTCATCGATTCGTTGTCACTGGCAACTCGTCTTCAAAGTACTTGGGCGGCATCTCAGTCGTCTAGTCCGACATTTAAATGTGAGTTTGGATCGCCCCATGCACATGCTCTAAGCGCGGCTCTTGTTTTTTTTTCTCTTTTTTTTTTCGCCTATAGTCTTCAACATTTCTGTAACGCCTCTCACTTTTGGGCTCATTTTCCTCAGTGGCATATTGTTTTCATCTGTCTCTGTTCATTGCGACAATATTTGTGTCAGAGGAAAAAGGAAAACATCAGTTGTTCAAATTTTGGATTTTATAACGCCTTCTAACACTATGGACAGTTCATTTTCCAATCACTGGTCCCACGTTGACCTCGCTTTTCACGACGTTAACAATCTTTTCACAAAATCCACTGCAACCATGCCTCCTAGACGGATAACGCGGAGGTCGGTGGTGTCACCTTCGCCTGCCCTTTCCGATACAGGCACGCCAAAGCCCGGAAAGCGCGGCACTTTGATTCCAGTTGAGCAGGTCAGGAATCAAACGCCCACCAGATTCAGTCTCAGCTATGGCTCCTCACTGGTGGCTATGCCAGACAGGAACAAAACCGCCGCAGGTACTGATCTCGAAACGGCCTTCGCCGACATACACGAAACTGTCAGGACCGACAATATCAAGGCTGAGGCTCGCCGTCGAGAGCTTGATGCGCGTAGGGGTAGCACAACTCCTGGCCCCAGACGCCCTGACCCAATTGAGGAAGAAACCGAAGAGGAGGAGGAAGAGGATGAGGAGGTTCAGGAAGAGAAGGAAGAAGACGACGACGACAACCAAGGTGGCTACTACAATGACGAGGAAGAAGAGGAACCCGAACCAGACCCGGCCCGGCGTGCTACGAAACCAGCCCAAACTCTCAACAAGCTACAAGATCAGATTGAGAAGGCAAAGCTACTAGACAAGCAAAGGGCGGAGGAGAGGGCAGCGGAAGAAAGGGAGAAAGCGGAGAAGGACGCCGCGGAGAGAGAAAGGAAGAGAGTGGAGAAAGACAAGAAGGACAAAGAAGAGAGGGAAAAGAGGGAAGAGGCTGAGAGAGAAAAGAAGGAACAGGCCGCGAAAGCTCAGCAAGAAGCCAAAGCAAAGGCTGCGCGTGAGGCCCAAGAACGGGCTGAACGAGAAGCCAAGAAACGAGCACGCGACGAGGAAGACCAGGAACAGGCCGAGCTGGAACGTGCCGAACGAAATGCTCGGCTAAAACGTGAGCGTTCTGAAGATGCGCGGCGTCAAGCCGAACAGAAGCACGCAGCAGAGGCCGCGCGTAAGAAGGAAGAGCAACGCCAAGCTCGAGAGGCAAGCGAAGCAGAGATGGCAAGCCTGGAGGAAGCAAAGAGGCAGGCTATGCGACCACCCCCTCCACCTTCCAAACAACTGCTTTCAACACCACCTACTTCCAGGACAAGGGAACTTGTGGTACCCGATACCGGCAACAGCTACGTGGAGGAAAGCGATGTTTACACCGACTCGGAAAAGATGAGGGAAGTGCTCGAAGAAGAGGTGCGAATGGCTCAACAGAGGCGATTAGCCCGATATACCCCAGAGCCTCCAGAACCACCCAGAATCGCAAGGCGACCAGCGTCAACCCTCTCCAATTCTTTCCAGCATGCTCCCCATCAAGTCGATCAACACCAAGACTTGTTCGACACAGAGGCGAAATCCATGTCTGACAAACAGTATCCGTCCTTTGGTAAGCTGTCCAAACCCACAGCCGCAAGACCGAACCAAACATCCAGGCCGCGAGCCGAACAGTCAAATACGACCAACGGGGAAACACCGCCTCCTCCGTATACTACTGCTCCTCCCACCTTCATGCAACGATTACTGAGTTTGATTCGCCGTTCGACATGGGGCGTGTGGAAGCTGCTTACATTCCTTGTACCGGTGCTCCTCCTCGGTCTGATAGTCTTGATCGCGTCTTCTTATGGTTCGCCGGATTCGAATACCAGCATCCGATGGTATGGCTGGAAGCACTGGAGGAGCAACGTCGGGCAGTTCATCCCCAGTCATCCGCAGCTGACGGATGATCAGTTTAATGACTTGAAGGACTTTATACTTGAACAATCATCTTCTACGGAGAGTGCTGTCAAAAACATCCAAACTCTTCTTCCCCGGATGGTGCACGTTAAACGTGGTCCAAACGGCGATCTCATCATTCAGGACGACTTCTGGCATGCTCTTCTGGATAAAATGCTCAAGGACAGCTCCGTTCTCACGCTTGACGGCACTGGTGACATTTCCGAGGAGCATTGGAACGCACTGCGGCCGCGCCTCATCAAAGCCGGACTTTTCGAGAAGGGCCCCTCGGATGAGCATATCTTGCAGATTGCCGAAGGCACTGTTTCCAAATCTTGGGAACGTTGGGTAACCAAGAACGGGGAAAAGGTTGCCCAGGTTGTCAAGGAGCATCTACCAGGAGACAAAGGCGATGGGGTCACGCGTGACGCAGCCATCAGCCGAGATGAGTTTGTGGGCCTCTTGAAGAAAAGGATTGCAGAACACAAGGAGGAGATTGAAGGTCAATTGGATTCCGTCAAGAAAGGGCTTGAGACACTCATCGACACTACGGTCAAGGCGGCAATCTCCAACTCCGAAGGTAGTCTTTCCAAGTCCGAAATCACCACCTTGGTCAAGAATATCGTCAAGAAGGAGATTCCTCGGGCGCAACTT